AAATTCACAATCTTTGGCTAATGGGAAGAAAGAGCAGCTTATAACAACTACAGTAAAGGCTATGCTGAGCTTGACTGTTTGACCACAACTACCCCAGAGCAATGCTCTGAAAGTCAAGGCAGATCCCATGTTATCAGCAGAATAATAGGAATAACGAGTACTCAGTTTTAACCAGTCATTTATATACAATATTAACACTCAATCCAAATACTGAGTATTTAACATGTGAGGAAAGTATGTTTAGGGGAAAATCTGTTCCAGGAAACACTTAAGGTACTAGCAGGAATAACCTCCAGCCAATCAAGTAGTGAAATTATGCAGACAAATCACGTAGTAAAATATGATAAAGCCTCTTATAAAGTCTAAGCAGTTATATAAGCTAAAAATTGAGAATGGTCTGAAAGAACACACTGTAAATATTAATCAAGTTAGAGTTCGGTGATATGTTTCTTGCCCAAACTAAATCTACACAAGCAATAATTTGACATGACTATATGGTTCTGGTTCTCCTTCATGAAGGAATTTTGCAATAGAAGGTCAGCAAAGAAAATTGCCACCAGAAACACCAAGGTAAGAAGTTGTATGGAATTCCTTAAATCCAAGACGTGAGGCTTGTACTGGATCTCTGTTTGAACAGATCTCAAAAGAGCTTTAAAATTCTATGAGGAATTGCACTAGTAACTGCTACGTAGCTACCACTGTCACATAAAATGCTAAGCATTATTTGGCACAACAGTAGCCAAACTGCAGGGCATATTTAGCAGCAGGAATTACATGAGACCGAAACAAGACTAGAAAAGCCACCCACACACATCCACGATTGTTTTTTACTTGCCAGAGATTGTACATGAGGCACTTGCTTCCCTGGCACTGCTCTAGGATTTCCCGAGATAATCACACAGAGCTAGGACTAATGAAACTGAGCAAGGACTAATGAAGCAGCCCTTCACACTGCTTAAGCAGACAGAAATCCAGGTCGTCAGTTGAACAGTGCAAGTCCTGGATGAAAAACACAGGAAAACACAGGGGAAAAAGCAATCCTAGGAAGGGTTTGGTCTTTGCCTAGGTTCTTGGCCTGACTCCTACAACTAGCAACAAGCAAGAGCTCAGGGTGAACACTATTTCCTTCAACTGGTTTCAGATTCCCAAAGCAATCACCAAATTCAATAAAAAGGTTAAAATGAAGTTTTAATGCCAAAGGGATATTCTCAGAGTGAACAGTTTGACTTCTGCTCCTGTACAACAACAAAAAAAACACCTCACATACTTTGCATTCTCCTTAATGGAAAAGATCTTTATCGAACACCTTCCACAAAGGAAGAATTACATGCAGCCAGCAGCACTATCCACTCTAGGACTTAATATTTGTGATCTGGATTACTAATGATCCAAATGTGAGAATGTATAGTATTTTTTTCCCCAAAGAGTGGAGCAGCAGGTTACCAGGCTGCTGGTTACTCACCTATGGACATGCAGGAAGGGAGGACACAAGCTGCCTTTCTGATAGGGCACACAGGGCATTTTAAACACCTACAGAGCAGGAGACTGCACTGACAAAAGTCATACTGTACAGACTGGTCTGGCAGTTACAGACTGGAGGAAAAAATATGTTCTTGTAACCAGATTCCTTGTAGCCCGAACTCCTTTCCCTGTGTGTTCCTCAGCTTGCTCCTGATGAGTCCATCACACACAACGCTAGTTAGTCATGCAAACAGTTTTCCATGGAGCAGAGGCAGCAAGACAGGAACTGCAGTCCTCACTATTTTGCAATGAAGCAGATTAAATCTGTCACTTGAGACAGTGAGAGCTCTGTAGTGATGTGCACATATTAGTAGGACAAATCCATAAACTGAGCATCTGTTATCACACTAATATGATAGATGTCAGAAAACAGATTCTTTTCTGAGCAGTCTTTGCTATGAAATTCACTGGACCTTACAAAAAAAAGCAAACACTGTTTTATGACAGATTTTTCACTTTGATGGGACACCTATCATAGAAAAACCTATGACAGCAAACCTATCATGTTTCTTCAGCTAGACAGTACCATGATAAGATAGTTTGTAACTTGCTTTACTGTATTGGAAAATCCATAAAAACAACTTTTGTACACATTATGATTTAATTTCATTAGATGTCATTCTGTGTTTTGAGCTGTGTAGATGGTGGCCCAGAAACATGTCCTCCTGTGAACCACCTCTGGACCTACAGAGATGGAAGTAACTGTCCACCCAAATCCAAGGCAATGGCCTGATGAAAAGCATCCACATTTAGAGCAAGTGAGGAGAGAGGGAATGCTCTCCTTGAAGGAAGCAGTTCTCTTGTTCCTCCACGGTACACAAAACTGCATCTTAAACAGCTTTTTGTGAGTAGGGGCCAGAAGGAAGGAAAGTAACAGCAGGCCCAAAGAGAAAAAGATCAGAGTAGTTACCTGAAAGCCATTATAGAGACTGATTATTTCTAATTATTAGCACTGCTTTATGCCTATCCAACCTCCAGAAAAAACTGCTCCTTTTCTGGTCTATTCTAACATCAATTCTCCTCTTGCTGAACAGATCTATAACCAATGCTATGTCAGAACTGCCTACACATCCAAGACATTGAGAATGTACCTATTCAGCTGCTGAACTGTATTTATGGAATAGGGCAGAAACTGTAAGGAAGCAAACCCTTACCAAAACATAAAAAAAGAGAAAAAGAGCAAACTTTTTTTTAAAAAAAGGAAGCTGTATTACAAGCAATAGCTCTAATCAGGATGAGCTACAGGTTTTACTACAGACTACACTATACCTGCGATTAAGATGCCCAGTTTTGATAGTGCTGGGATACCTAACCACTAGCATTGCACGCAGGACACCCAGGTTTTCCAGGCGTTCCCATTTTCTGCCGGCCTACAGCGATGCCGGAGCACGGGCAGCTCCAGCCAGAGCAGGAGCCAGAACACGCGAGCGCCGCGGAGTCTCCTCCTCTGGAGATCTTTAAGACCCACTTGGATGCAGCCCTGTGCCATGTGCTCTAGGTGACCCTGCGTGTGCAGAGGGGTTGGATGAGATGATCTTCGAAGGTCCATTCCAACCTTAAGGATTCTATGATTTTGGGGTTTTTTGGCTATGAGAAAAAGCACCACACAGTATTTGTACTGGTAAAGGCTCAAATCATCAACCTAGAATCTTCTTTCACTGATGAAGAGCAATCCCGCTCAGAGCTAACCCTACCTACACCTCTGCGCTGATGAGCTGCGCTGTATTGCCTAGTTCTCAGCTGCTACAGAAGCTCACTACAAACCTGCCTGCAAGACAAATCCTAATCCGACATTTCTCACCAGAAGCTTTGGCACAAACACCAACTATCGCAGACAGGGTACGTTCCCTTGCCGGTATTGGGGCCCCTTTGTTATCCCAAATCACGCCACGGCTGCCACCCTTCTCCAGTGGAACATGTTGCTCTGCCTCCCTCAGCTCAGGACTGTTCAGTCAGAGCTCGTTCAGCCTCACACAGACAGAGGGCACTGAGATGGACTGCTCAGCAAGCTGTCAGAAGCCGGCCGTTTCACTGCCAAGGGAGGTAACATCCTGCCTTGCTGCTAAGGACATAGTGTGAGTGAGGGCTTCGACTAGGGCCTGCCACAAATACAGGGGCATAAGACTTAATTTTGCAGTAAAAGGTAGCACTTGCATTTATTTTGTGGATGCAGAGAAACCGATTGCTGTCTTTCTTGCTGAGAAATTCCCTTCCACTTTTCATTTCCTATTTTTTGACATGAGGTAGAGATCAGCTGTCAGACAAAGATCACATCACAAAACTTCATCTTTCTGTGCTAAGTAAATAGGGAACTAAGGATGGGTCCCATTACTCGTTTTTTTTTGGAGTACATAATATTAAGCTGACGTTTGCCTTTTCTCATAAAAGTCAATCTCATGGCAATACCTACCTTGCTGACACATTCAAAACAGGAACATGCCTAGTATCACCAGCAAGCATCAAACTGTGCTTTTTTCCACCAGCCAGATGGCTGCAACACTAAAGCATGTATCATATTCACTGGAGATGGAGTAAGAGGAAAATTCAACATAGAATATCCAGCAGTGTTAAGGAGTTACAGAAAGTAGAGCAAAAGGTATATATTGAAACCATTTGTCCCTCCAACATTTGCCTACAATTATTTCATTTTTACTAAATATAATGCCGATTTTTACTTCCTTTTCAGATCAACTTTTGAAAACAGTCAAGAAACAGCTACATAGACATCTCTCGGGACAACGGAGTGTACCTCAACTGGATACTATTTCTTCTTCCACTCACTATCTGCATCTAGAGCACAGGTGGCCTCAATAGATTAAAATGAGCATGTCATGCCAAGTAATGTAAATCTGTGCTTTATAATCTGCACTACCCAACTCTGTGCTGACTTAAATGAACATGTCTACAAGAATCTGAAGTGTCTACAAACACATCTAGGCATTTGGGCCTTCTCTTCCAGGTCGTCACAGGCTACACTTTCAAAGTGTAAGCCAAAAGCAAGATTTTCCCTATGAGGATCTCCAGGCATTCAAACATGAACTGACTGCTCACCTGAAAACAAGGAGCTTTATTCACCTTCACAACAAGTTATGATGCTTATGGTCAAATTTTAATGTGGGAAAAGAGGAGCAAAGTGTGATAAAAGGAGATTTTGCCCAATAGAGGAAGTATTTATAAACAGGTATTCCTACTCTTCTAATTAGGTTTATTAGTTACTTTTGAGTTGGAGATTTGTAATTTAGGATGTCTAACCATCACCCCTAAGCGTACCAAAGGCTTAGGATGGAATTAATCTTCACCCTATGAAAAAGTGTTTTTAAAATTTAAATAATTTTCTGAGCAGAAGCTATTCATTTGCTGTGGAAGCTTAATGACAGTCATTACATTTAGTGCTGCTATTTTTTACTCTGAGGCTTGGCTGGGCATGGTAAAATCTGCTTCCCAGGAGCGTTTTTAACCCCTTGAAAGGAAAAGCTTACGATGTCACTGCCGGAAAGCGACGACACAGAAGAGGCAGACGACCCAGAGGACAACTGCTGCGTGCTGGCCAAGGACAAGGCCAAGCGCTGGGTGTAAGCGGGGTCCACGTCTCTGCTCTGTTGCTGCTCTCCATTGCACGCTGCAATCTGGTCTCTTATTTTCAACCTGTTATCTGTTAACAAAGCACATGAGGAGCCTTTTAAGAGCGAAGAACAAAACCATATGAATCTTGCAGGTTGAAAACAACTTCAGTTTAACTAGCAAACGAAGCGAAAGCACAGGCTTAACGTAGAAAGCTAGTCCTAAGATAGAAAGCAACGAATTGCTTTAAGGTTTGCATACTTAAACTTGAATACATGCTTGAACCAGTGATGAATTTCAAAGCACAGATTTGTTCAATTGCACCAAATCCAAATAAAAAAAAATTTGGAACTGATTTCAAAGATTTCCATCATACATACCAAGTTCAGGTGATAAACTGATTTTGTTCCCCCACTTCTTTTTAATCCAGGCTCTGTAGTCAATCACCTCTTGGGTTACTTTGATGATTCTACCTAATGTGCTAAAAAAAAAAAAAAAAATTGGGACTATTAAACAAAGCCATTTGGTTAAATATTTGCAAACATTTCAAGAAGAAATCAAATTACAGCAAAATCAATGCAAGTTATCCATAACCAAGCATCTTTCTGATCTTTCATTTGCTTATAGAAACCTTCAGGCCACTTAAGAGTCATGCTTTTTAAAATTAGTGTATTACTTACCTTCTGCCATACTAATATGCAAACAGTGACACATAAATAACACATTTTTCTGTATTTCTACACAATGCACCTTAGCTATCAAGAACACACATACAAATGCTAATGTACCTAATATAGCACTTTACAGGTTCTTGTATTTCCCCATACAAAAAGAAATATTTTTCACTAAATCTGGATTACAACAGCTACAGGATGCACTGAACATGTTAATAACATGGACCCTCTATTCCTCTTCCTGGAGGTACACATACTCTGGTCCTTGCTTACAGATTTACAAGAGAACTTGAAAAGGTTTAAGGTCCCTGCAGTTATAAAGGAAGTACCATGGATCGTGAGGTAATGGAAACAAGAAACAGAGTGGCTCCAAAACCAGAATGAGTTAGAACTTAAGATGACTCATAAGGGCAAACAGCCGAGTTCAAAAGCCAATCCTGTCCTGTTGAACACTGACTAATGTTATAGAATAAGTACAGAGCAGTGGTTTACAAAACACCCTCCCAATATTCAGCCATTTCCATTGCAGATCTCCTTGAGCAGGAGCTGTTTGAAAGTTTGTCTTTTAGCCTTTTCTTTTGTCAAGAGCTACTTGTTGAAATTATTACTATTTACTCAGTGATCAGTATGTAAGAATGAACGACTACTGTGCAAAAATGGACCGTGGGAAGTGACCATCCTGGGAGAATGGCAATACTATTTCAGCTTTGAAAGCTTTCAATAGTTCTAAATAAGATTATTTCACATCATAAAGGTACAACATACCTTTCCTGGAATTTGGTTTTGGGTGTTCAATGGGAAGGGAAGACATGCGTAGTCTAAATGCTTCAGATTATCCGATAATTTCCCAGTAACACTTTAAAAAGGAGCAGTGATTCTCCTACTAGATTAGGCATGGCTACTTCACTGCAAGATCAAATGCCATGTACTCAATGTTTAGACTTCCAACTTTAAAGACACATCAATGTGTCGGTACTAAAAAAGCTGCCCAGGCATCCAAGCACATATTGGACCAAATGGTATCACCTAATGCTTAAGTTATGAATCCAATGGATGCACAAGGACCTCATGGACAGAATCACTGGCATCCACCATTTTATTACTTCTATAGATAAGTGAAGTGATGCATGCTGGAAAACACAATCTTAAATTGCTCACGCAGAATTAAAGGCTTTGAAGTAATTATCACCATTCAGATGGTAATGGCCTGGGTTATAATAATTCTTTGAAAAGCAAGGCTCAAAAGCTAAATAGAGCATTAGAAAAAGGAACTGAATGAAAGAGGAAGGCATTTTGTCAGTGGACTAGCCCAGGATGTCACACTGCTTTTAACACTCTGCTTCTTGAACTCACAAAGGAAGTATCTGAAAGGAGAAGAGACACAAGGAAGACAACATTGATAGAGACTGCAGAGAACGAGCTGTGGGGCCCTGATGTCTCAGTTTGCAGGAGCTGCCAGCATGGAATTCAAACCCAGGGACACCGGCTCTTTAGCCCTGCGAGAAGAGGAAATCCAGGAGGTGGAAGTTTCACCCAAAGAGGCCGTCAAAAAGCTACACGAGCTTTTCTTCCAGGATGACCTATGGGTTCTGCAACTATTATCAGCAGTGGTCTTAGAATTAGAAAAGGAACAAATGATTTAGTAATGCATGTCATGTCTGAAGCTTATCAGGCCTTCATATACCAGAAGGAAAAGTAAAGACCTAGGATGGCATTTTGATTGGCCTGGGAGACTGGTGTAACAAAAATGCCTGACATCAATAGATAAGGAGCAAATCCACTGCTACGTCAGCATTATGGTAGCATAGGACAGCATGCAGAACCCAGCCCTCTTCTCTTACTAGCTCCCTTCACAGGGAGGATCAAAGCTCCAAACTCTGCTTTTTGGTGGTTGTAGAGAGTGAAGGATTTATTACTTACCCACCAAAACTTAGAACAGTCCCTATGAGACATCAGAAACTGAAAGGTCATGAAGTCTGTACTATCCTATACTTCAACAGCAGGACAGAGGAAAGGAGAAGCAGGCGTGATCAACCCAGACACTGCTCTTGGAAAAACAGATGTCTCAACAGATGTAAGAAATGGAGAAACATCAGTTTAACTGGTTAATAAAATTTGACACTTCTCCTATGAAAGGTGGCCCACTTGAAAGATTTTTCTCTAGATATTATATAGCAAAAACAGAAATAAGCTACTTGCATAACCCAAGCTCCTAACAACTATTTCATGATAAAGCTCCAGTTTAACATACCACATAGTTGTTCTATCAACCTAATGCCAATTAATTTGCAAGCCCTCAGGTCACAGGGACACTGTCATTACAGCACAAGTAAGATGCAAATACACATTAAGAACACCCTTAATGGGATCAAATTGCTGACATGCAATTCAGTGAAATCAAACATCTAAAACTCTAGTCAACTCCACATGGAAAACTGCAAGAGCAAGGAAAAAAGAAAATGGAAAAAAAAAACAGTCCACATTATCTAAGGAGACCTTAGCCAAAACTATGAATCACCTCCTTGGTGTTTAAAGGAACATATGATCTAAACCAGACTAAAGAACATTCGAGAAGGATCTGCTTGAAGATAAGTATAAGAAAAGTCTAGAACTTCTAAGTAGACATATTTTTGGTTAAGAAAAGCTGGTGTTGCCAACACCTCCCAAGGGAGGACGCGCGTTCTAGGGACAGCCATCCATCATTCCAGTTGTCAAGGAGAAGAAGGACCACATGTATTTCTAATTCCTGTGTTAGAAGAGCTACCAGGCAAATTACATAATTCCTTTGATAGTTCCCAGAGCTCCCAAGACTATTTTGGCTGCTTTTGGACAACCCGACCTAACACACAGACATGCTGGCAGCCAGGTGACCTGTGCACAGAGACCAAGCAGCTTCCTAGCACAGAAGGGGCAGATCACACATGGTGAAGACCACTGCTGCTCTGCAAGTTATCAGCTCTGAATTATAACCCCAGGCAGACAGCCGCAAGGCCGAGCCAAGGCTTCCTCAGACTCTGAGCTCCAGCCTGTGGGGGCACATACTGGTACCCACAGGGCACGGCAGGACTGAGGAAACCAACACCCTGGGCTACGGACACACTTATTTATTCACGTATCATTTCTTCGCACTGCCATGCACAAACATAACATACCAAGCAGCAAGGCCTTCCTTTGAAGCATTTTAAGTAGAATGTTTGAGGAAAGGCCAATACATCATCCGCCCCCCTTCTACACTAAGGAACCATAGGACTCATCCGTTTTTTTTTTAATCAATCTGTCTCCATCTCTGCTAAAAGGTACACACTAAAGGTACCAGGTTCTCACTGGGCAGGCCTAAATCTCTGGGTAGATTTCAATACAGCTGCAGTTAAACAATAAACAGCAATATTCTTTTATTGACAAGACCCAAACATTCCTAGTTGATTAAATAGACAAATGGATATTCAAAAAGTGGACTAATTACCTCTCAGAATCTCTATTTGGATATGATCTTGCAAGTGGTGATACTGCATGGCTAAGAACAATGTAGGCATAATCAAAAACTTGTTTCACTTGCATGGCACCGTAAGAACTTCTGCCAACGTCGTTTCCTGTAATAATGTGACAGTCATCAGGTCAAGGCTTTTTTGTTTAATAGCAGCAACCAGAAAAATATTCATACGGAAAGCTCCGAAGTCTGAACAGCACCGCTCAGCTCTGACTATTTCAGGACGTCAGCCCCTTCTGTTCATAGCAGGCACAGCTAAATGTGCCCAAAGAAAGCCAGCTAACCTTTGGAATGGGGCTTCCCAGTATGCAGTCGATTTCGCACTTGTGAAATGCTGTTGTACCAGAACATGGAAGAAACAGAACGCAAAAAGACAGCTATAAAGTGATCAATTAGGGTAGGCTTAACAGCGAACCTGTCATGCTTATGTTAAGGCATCAAATCACACTTACCAGCGGAGTTTGTGTAGGCCGAATTCAGCTTTCAGTTACCTCTGTGCAACCACATTACCTGCATAGGGCCGGGCACATTTACAACCACCTCTATTTAAGCTTATCAGTACTACAGATGAGTAACTCACCTCATATGGATTATTTACCTACCAGAATAAACCAATTATATTCTTTAAATTAAAACAAATTTTGTACTTTAGCTAAGGCAGTGGCACTTTGCCACTCTTTAGACATGAACTGTTTGTCTAGCAGAACCCCTGCGAACTTCAGTGGCAGGTAGGAAGAGCTGGAGAAGTTAAGAACGCCCTAAAGCTCCGACGTTAGTGACAATGTACAGGCATCAGTCTTCCATTCGGCACTCAGAAGGGTCTTGCTGGTATCAGCAACAATAAACAAGGATTTGGGCTTTTTTTGGTAAATATATTTGGCACCAGACACCAACTGTTCACTGTCACTGCTTCAATCAAGAAGTAATGAAAAACAATTTCTTTCAAAAATGCAGGTCTGAAATACAGACTAGGTCTCAAGTGGGTAGAAAGCTGCTTACAGGAAAGGTTTGTTTCTCTTTGACCTGAAATTCCACCATACCATGGGGAAATGGGCAAACTTTAGGACATGTTTTAAGTTTACAAGTCAGAGCCTATTAGTAGGGTTAAATATCATTGAAGACGGACAGAGAAAGGATGGAGGTCACTACTGGAATCTAACTAGACCGATGTTGACTAAGGGCACCCTTCATCTGCTGAGCTGCTTTTGCCCAGAACACAGTTACAGGGAAACAGTCTGAAACCCCCCAGGCCAGGGGACAGGGCACACACAACCCTGGCTATCCGACTAGGGGACACATTTTAATCTAACACATTTTATCAAGTTTCTCCAAACATGCTGCCATTTTTCAGGAAAGCATAAAATCAATGAAGAGATTGGGGAGGTATGAGCATTTTTGGAACACAAGATTTCTTTGGCAACGTTCACGGTCAAATTACAGAAAAAGAATTAAGATGTGCTTAATGCTTCCTGAAATAACCAAGTTCTTCAGGTACTCCTACAGGAATCACAGCAGCTACTAGACCCAAAGTTGGAAGAGTGCAGTCTGTCCCTCCCTCCCTCTATAAGCAATATTTATAGTTAGACTCTATCCTGCAGTAGAAGCAGAGACCACTATTGGCCTGGAAAAGCAGAGCTAGGAAGAAACAGGCTGAAGTTAAGTTCAAAGCTTCAAAGCCAAAGCAGGTATCAAACTTTGCACAGTGCTTAGTCCAAACTAGCTGAACAGAGACAAACATATTTTGCTGGGCAAGAAAGCCGAGTAGGAAAACATTAAGTAAATTCCACTAGGGACTGACTCAGAGGTGCTATCAGCACAGGTTGCCCAGGGGCATAAGTGCCCTGTGACAAAGCTACTTGCCACTTGAAGTGCAATGGAGAATAAGCTGAGAAACAAACTATATATATATATATATATATGAACTCATATATGAGTTTATGAACTCATATATGTGTGTGTGTATCTATATATATATATATCTACCTCAGTTCAAACACATGCAGCTGTACCTGCCACTAGATTTCTACCACAAGAATTGAGAATATATGTGCAACCAAGCCCGATTAGTCTGATCTGCTATTAAGGCAACTATTGACACAAGGCTGACCTGCATCCTGCAAGGACCTACTCCAAAGATCCTGCAAGGATACTGCTACACGCTCCTGTACATGGTGGCTGCAGCCTCCACTGCTCTGCCAGCTTAAGAAATCATGAGCCTTCCCTAATCCATTTACTGCAAACTCAGGCAGTTTAGTTTACACCACTAAGTAGTGAAGTTATATATTAGTCTTCACTGAAGCAGATTTGATAAAAGATAGCACAGCTCATACAACAGCTTGCTTAAATACAACAGCTCCTGGATTGAATTGTTCTGTCCCTGCAATTAGTTCCTAAGGAGATCCAACTAAAGAGTCTTACTCAGTTTTACACTCTGCCCTAACTCAAGCTGCAGCTGAAAAAGCAAGTGTGGAGCCAAAGCTGCTGTGAACTCCAGCAGTCAAGTCTGCACTGGCATGCCCTGAGCATGGCATGACCATACTCGATCCACACAGCAATACATTAAACAAGCCAGATGATCACATACACATGTGCCATCCAGAAGTAGGAAAAGGTTTTCTTCTAAGGGGTCACTCATCAGCAGGTCACATTTTACACACCCAAGTCTTTCATTCCACACAGACTCTACAGACTGATCAGTTAAAGCACATGCTTTCACTCTTAAAAACAACAACAACAAAAAAAAATCATAAAGGCTTCAAGCCTCAGCATCACCAGATAACTTCCCAAAGAATCCAACCCTCTTTTCCTTGCAGCAGAAGCAATTCCTTCTGGAAGGAGCGTGCCTAAGACTTCCAAGAGAGGCTGTCACTATTATCACTCAGTCAAGCAGTCTTACTGAAGTAACAACCTGATGTAATTTTAAAAGCAGGGTGTGGAAAAGTAAAGGTAAGACAGTGAACTAGGACAGAAGCAGGTCTGTTCGTTTTAAGCTGTTACCCACTAAACAACTTCTGCAGCATTCAGCACTTAGGAGCTCTTTCAGTCTCCAGAGCTGCTAGTCTCAGTGTATTTTTTTTTTTATTTCTCTACATGTTTTTATATACACACATGCACACATTCATACATTCTAATCATGAACAGCAGGTGTTGCAGAGCTGTGATGAACACCCTTGGGCAGCAACTAGGGCTAGAATAGGTACTGCCAAAAGCTGCTGTTCACTTCAAAGTAATGTACCTAGAAAACATCAAGATGCAGAGATTAAATAAATAAATAAATAGACCTCCAAGTTAAAGAGCTCCTTTTCAAAGCAGCTCTATGAGATCTGGCATCCCGGGTTTCTGTTAGTGTCTGTAGCAATTCAAAATGAAGAACACCACAGCACAGATAAAGATGCAAGTCTTCAACTACAACTTAACTACTCTACTCTTGCTGCCAATCTGAACCAAGATCCAAATCATCCCAGTTCTTAGTATCAAAGATGCAGCTTCAATAATCCTCAAGCTCAAAGCTAAAAACTGTAAACTAGCAGTCTTCTCTAACAGCCTACTGAAAGACCAGCTCCACATATATGAAACTCCTGCAAGACGATGACCCTCCACATGGCTTCACCACATTCCCCCTACCAGAAAGGCTCTCACACTACAGACACCTGTAAGCCCCCAACTCCACAAGCCTCCCAAGGAAACACTTTGGCCACGGTCTCTGCACCCCACACAGCAAAGAACTGCTGTCTCCAGAAGCTGATGTGGTGGCCACTACAAGGTACTCAAAGTTAATCTCTTTGCAAGGATGAAATCTGCATCAGGTTAGATGATGAAGTGCCCCAGTCCTAGAACACTATGAACTCAAGAGTAAAAACAAAAATTAGAATATCTGTATCAGGCCAAGAACAGCACCATAAAAAATATTGCAGAATGGAGTAGTCCAACATCTTCAATCCAGATTCCAGAAAGCCACTGCACCTTCAAACTCTTGACATCTTTCCTGAAATCTCTGTCTCCAAACAGGGAACACAATCCTCTAGTGCAGGGTAAATAATCTTTGAAAGACTCAGAGGAAACCCTATAGCACCCAAAAGAATCTGCTACAAGGAAAGCATACAGAGGGAACAGCACTAGAGCTGGCAGATGCCTGTTGCATTCCGCATTAGAACTACCAAAACACACTGAGCAGCTAGAGCTGAAGGACCACATCTTTCTGATGACACATTCTTTTTTCTGCTAGGCAGATATCACCAACTCTCAGAGAAGAAATTGCCATCCTCAGACCTAAATAGCACTGAATTTAGAAAGTCTTGGAGGGCAGGATTAAAGCTATTCATGAAGCTCTCTTTCAGCACACTATCACACAGTTTGTGCAAATGCTCCCAGTAAGGATTCTCACTACTTGGATGATCTTGAGAAATGGAAAGTTTGTTCTGTTTTCCTTCATCCCTACATTTTGTCTGTTTAGGACTAAGTCACCTTTCAAACTTTTCTTCTCAGGTTTAACCAGAATTTAACAAAAATCGGGAACGGTCTAAGAAGAATTCCCAAAAAAGATTAAGAACCAGTGCACATAAAGCACTTCTGAAGGGAAAAAAAAAAAAAAAGAAAAATCTACAGCAGTTGAAGCTAATCTAAAGGAGGACAGCAACAGCTGTCCCTTCACTCAAATACTCACTCCCATTTCCTCTCCAGCGGTGCTATTAACCCTCACAGGATTAGACACCGAGCTGGTCTGACCACAAACTAACACAGAGATTATTTGTCATCTGAACAAGAATCTGAACTCTTGGAAAAGTTCTTTGAATAGAGACACAAAGAGTAGCAAAACTAATTATCAGAATTTTAGCTATTCGATGTATACACTTAATAGGCATTGTAGACACTGTAAGGATGTATGATTACACCTCGGCCTAAGGAGGCTCTATTGCCCAGATGTGATGCAAAGAGCCATTCTGCATCTTCTAACTAATTTTCCTCCCAGTTCCAAATTCTGAGCTCTATGGCAGCTGCCAGATGATTTCCTTTAGGATAAGCTCTCCAAATGAAATATTTCAAGTTATTGTCAACTTTTGTGCGTGGTGCCCAAACACTTTTTCCTGTAAGAAGCCATTCTCTCAGCCTGCAGATCCTCATCTGAAACCTAGTTCTTAACAAGTCTGAGAGCACAAAAACGGGATCTCTCTTTCAGAGTTCTTTGCTTCAAGTTTCATGCTAAGGGAACAGTCCAGGGCCCTCACTGGATTTGCCATTTCATTTCAAAGCATCAAAGGAAAGAAGAAAAAATTCTAAAATTTGACTACTAGTAACTATCAAAACTGCTTCTAAACAAACTCTTCTCTTTCAATCCTAAGCTACCAGATATGAAGAAAGAAGACTGAAAGACATAGTACCTGTCCTTTATTTTATAAAAGTGTAGCTCATGCTGCTCCTGACCTGGATCTTCAGGCAAGTAAGTACACAGCTACCGATAAGCCCTCAAAAGCATCATGCAGTAGTTCTGCACGTTGACACTTAGGACTGCTCAAATGCAAGACTTGGGTAAGAGTTGTGAGGGACACAACCTCAGAGCTACATATCCGAGATGTGGTTAGAAAAACAGCCTCTTTGCTTGCAACCTGCTCTAGAGGAATGTGAACATTTAGCACAGTATTTAAAAAGGAGTCAAACTTAGCTCCTGATCCATGGTATTTGCTTTAGAAGTGCTATACATAAGCAGCCTACCCACAAGATGTGACAGTACCAAGGAGTTTGCGTGCCAATTACATTCTAGAAGTATCAGCGCTCAAGTCCAAATTGACTGAATATTTACTTTGTTAAAAAGCTTTTCTGGAGTTCCAGTCTGAACAGAAGCCAAACTGAGCAGTAGCTGGAACATTTCCGAGAGTTCAACCAGAATTAATCTTGATTTAGCACTGAATCAAAAGGAAATCTTTTACTTCCAAAAGGACCTGCAGCCGAAAGGGATGTTCTGCCACGGCGCCTGCACAGCACAGAGGCCGTTTGCACGAGCCAGACTCTTTGCACCAGCAGCACGGAGCAGCCTCCCCCTTGCTCCACACTCCTGAACGTGAATTCGTGTTTCTGTGCAGTCTCTGCTGGGTTGCTCTGCAGAAAGCTGCTTCCTCTGGGGCTTTTCTTTCCCAAATGGGACAATTTAGCTGAAGAATGGCACTTCTAAGGAGACGGGGGTAGAAATAGCTACCTATTTCTTTCTCATTTTCTCATAATGAAGAATTGAGTTCCGTTCCTTCTAGAAATCCCCTTGTGGGATTCCCTGGACCTGTTTCCTTCCTACACCTCAGCGCTATTAGAGAACCTTACTACACACTCAGACATTTCTGTTTTCCATATATCTGCACTGTAGGTGTGCAATTACTGAAGCTATAAAGAATCTTGGGGGATTTCAGTTCCTCATCCATCAACCACCTCCATGACTGTACCACATTATCAGATATTTTCTGTCCCCCAGTGCAACTTCTCAACTCATACGACAGTCTTTAAGGACTCTTGTACGGCATAATCTGAGCCAGCGCTCTAGAAAACGGCAAGAAAGGTAGAGTCTTACCAGGCAGGAGAGGATCTTCAATACATAACATGGATGGTCTGTACCCATTCGTCATGACTTTCATGATTTCTTCTTTGGCAATATAGGCACCTCCATTTTTTATTCTAATACCAGTTTTCAAGTAATTAAAATTCCTTCCATAGAGTTCAAAAAATTCTATGAGAAGCATTCCAAGGTTTTCATCAGCTCTTCTGGCATCAATTCTTGGATGCAGCTGTGACACAAACAGTTGCTAATTATTAAAAGCAAACATTTGGCAGATCAACACTATGTGACAAAAATGTTCTCACTGAAGCAGCTGGGAACCATCTCTTCACAGAAGTTTGAACCGAGGGCATTCATGTATGGAATATACTTTCATTTAACCAAGAGGGGGCAGCACTTAAGTAGTGTATGGAGGCCAAAGAATTCATTTCCTATCATTTCACCTAGCATTTGGATAGGTGGTTAACCCCTTTTCCTACACGAAAAGGAGTAAGGAGTACTGCATTCTACATTAAAGTCTAGTTTGTCAAAGAATAAATAGCTGATTTTTCACACAAATTCAAGAGATTTTAATGTTCCCAGAAAATGTCAAGGTGAGGGAATCTATTTATCCCAAAATATGGTCTTTTTCCTCGTCTCTCCTTATGTATAACCTACTGCTATATTCCAAATGCTCATCTTAACAGCACTGGACTAACATGGTTCTTTTTCATCATCACAGGCACTGACAGTAACAAATGTTTTACTCAGCCACACGCATAGAAAAACTTGCTATCACTGACAAAAATATACTGGAGGAAATAAGTCATTAACACATTTATGAATTACCTAAAATATCTGCCACTTTTCAACACGTCAAAGCCTAACCAACATGCAGGCAATTAGGAAACGGCGGAGGTGTTTAATGTCACAGTCCTAATGAGCCCTTGGAAAGCAACTACCTCCACATTCACTATCAGTGGGCAACAGGAACAACGGGCTTGACCTGCAATCTGGCACATTTAGGAGACACCAGGAAAAGAAAATATAGCAGGAAAAGCAAAAGCTACCAGTGCTCAGGCACTGCAACATGGAGACGGTGCAATGAGCACAAGGGGGGCTGCTGGGGAGCACAAGGCAGCAGCCCCGGGCTGCGCTCGGGGCCGCTGCAAGGGCGGGAGCCGCCAGGACAGGGAGCAGCCCCATCCCTAACGGGGCATCAGCACAGAAACCAGCATTTCCAATGAGTTCACAAGCAAAAAAAAGACTTCACTTACCTGTAGGAAACTAATGGCCATTAAAATTAGGCTGTAAGAGCTAATTCCACCGGTAAAAACTTCATTCAAGTCCCTCTGAAGGAGGAACTGTTTTAGTACTAAAATCAAATATGGCAGCAAAGAGTATTTCTGCAAGGCAAAGTAAGTTCCGTCAATAATAATGTCAACTTTTCAAAATAAGAGCTCAACAATCCCAAACAGTTGTATTCTAACACCAAGGGGTAGCATTATTCAGTAGCATGCTATATAATGTCTTCCTCGGGGAAAAAACAAATGCATTTTTGTTCAGAAACTTGAGAAAAACAAACTTCAACTCTAACTCGATCAAACAGTCTATATGTCAAATTTAATTTTTCCCCCTCAAATAGGAGGATTTTTATATTCCTCGATGAACGGCACTGTCCCTCATTACAACAGGAGTTTCTCATGTGAGCAGTACTTTCACTGCAGAGCATAAAGCTAAGCTTGATTCCAAACACACTTTGAAAGGAAAAAAAGGGTTTTAGGCATCTTGTTTAGCAAGAGAATATTCATAATCCAAAATCACAAACTCAGTATGGAAACGTGAACTGTGTATCTTTAAAGACGACTTCTAGTATCTCACCACAGACCTAGATACAACTGTAGAAGTCCTTTCAGCATAAAGGTTATCCACAAATATCTAGCACTCAAATATTGAAAAAAAATCTGTCTAATCATTCAGTTTACATATTTCCAGTTTCTGATTTATAGAGATCAAGACTTCTTAAAAATCTTCCCATCTTTCTATTAACTACAGCATCACTGAATAGGTATGAATATATCCATGTAGAAAATAATTACAAATCCACATTTAACTAGTATTAATGAAAACAGTCTTCAGCAACGAGCTTTCAAAAGCCTTAAGCAATACCAAAGACACTTAGCCAAGCACTCTAGCACCATTCCTTAATTGAACAGCATTAATGATGTGGCAATACCTTCATGTATTCCTTGATAAAGCGAGCTGCCTTCACACCAGTTTCCACATTAAAACTGATGTCAACTTTTACTTCTGTTTCTTGGTCAGTAAGTTTTATTATTGGTACCTGAAAAAAAATTAAAGACAAGGTTTTATGGATCCATCAACACTGATGCTCCTCTCCAGCTACTCGCTCAAGATATGGACATAATCAGTCCGAGTGCACGTCACATTCGAGACAAAACACTAAAGATGGCTTTTGAGAAAGGATAAGGGAACTCCTGTGAGGGGATCATGAACATGCACAGTCATATCACTTATGATCATGCACGTATCTTCCCATAGCCGTTGGGTACCTACCGTCGTAGCCAAAGTATCAGCGATGTTTCAAGAAACAGCTAATGACTCACTGCTGCTAACAAGCTACATTGCACTCCCATAACCTGTGCTCATCTAATCATTTCAAGTGCTAAACAGAGATTAGTCCAGCAGAAAAAGGAAAAGCTGCCTGCTCATTTATCAACATGAAGTGGCTTGCTACAGAGGAAGGTGAAAACCAGACTGGTTATAGGCAAGAGAGGAACAGCAGCACTTCCTTCTCCAGCAGCACTAAGTCACTTAGGAAAACACTAACATGCACAATCTCGAACCACTGCCTTCAGGGCAGTATCTTGCGAAATGATATCCCAAGCACAACTGGACCCTAACCTTCAGCTGATGAATTTATTTTGAATTGAATTTCTTTTATTTATTCTTGATCTGAAATGGAAAGCAAACTGACAGGCAGAATGAAGCACAGCATTATTCAGCAGTAAGAGCAGAGGAAACGCGTGCATCTAAGGTCAATAAGATGGGTTTGCCTGGTGCCGTTCACCTGCACTAACTGACATCACTGATTCAGCAAATTGCACTTGCTCTCAGGGAAACCAAAGGCTCCCACAGCTATTACCTGGTGCTCCTCCCACAGAAATAGTCAGGTTATTTCAGAGACTACAAAAGGTAGTGGCTTGCCACTAAAAGTTTGGGAATTACTGCTTGATGTCGTAGAGAAAACTATATTTGCTCAGTGAAGTAAAATTTGCATCTAATTTTTTAAGCATGTTCAATACCCATTAGGCTTACAAGATTGATGCAAAACAGCTTCACATCTAAAATAAAGCAGTGACAAAATGTATTTTGGGAAGGAAGGATAAATGTTAGGCTTGGAACAATTCATTGCATCACCAGAAATAACAACAGCAGGAAAACACTGGTTTCAGGCTAGGCAGTCCTATTCACTGGCCTCTCACACATCCTCCTACATGTGAGAGGCTAGTAACTCCTTCAGCTATTCATAGAATCATAGAATGCCCAAGGTTGGAAGGGACCTCGGAGGTCATCGAGTCCAACCCCCCTGTACATGCAGGGTCACCTGGAGCATGTGGCACAGGGCTGCATCCAAGCGAGTTTTAAAGATCTCCAAAGAAGGAGACTCCACAACCTCTCTGGGCAGCCTGTGCCAGGGCTCTGTCACCCTCACTGGCAAGAAGTGTTTCCTTAAGTTCCTGTGGAACTTTTGGTGCCTCAGCTTGAAGCCATTTCCTCTAGTCCTGTCGCTGGCCACCACTGAAAAGAGGCCGCCCCCTCCTCCTCACTGCCTCCCTTGAGGTATTCATACACGCTGACCAGGTCCCCCCTCAGCCTCCTCTTCTCCAGGCTGAACAGACCCAGCTCTCTCAGCCTTTGCTCATAGGGCAGATGTTCCAGGCCTCTGATCATCCTGGTAGCCCTGCGCTGGACTCTCTCCAGCAGCTCCACATCCCTCTTGTCCTGGGGAGCCCAGAACTGGACACAGTCTCCAGATGTGGCCTCACCAGGGCTGAGTAGAGGGGGACGATCACCCCCTCGACCTGCTGGAGACGCTCTTCTTAATGCACCCCAGGATCCCGTTGGCCTTCTTGGCCACCAGGGCACACTGCTGCCTCATGGTCATCTTGTCGTCCACCATGACACCCAGGTCCCTCTCTGCGGGGCTGCTCTCCAGCAGGTCCACGCCTAATCTGTACTGGTGTCCAGGGTTATTCCTCCCCAAGTGCATTCACTGAAAGAGTTGTCATATTACATAACTAACCTATTTTCTTGGACACTTGGCTAATACTGACTTTCAAGAGACCTTATAGCAACATATACACATACATGCAAGCGATTGCTGTCATCCACATCCACCCCACAATCCATATGCTACTGCTCCGCACGCACACATCCTGCTAAGATCTTGCCTGGCCACAGCAAAGCACTGTGCTCAAAACAATGCCACTTGCTCCAGGAATGACTAAATAGTTGTCACTTTCCTATCAAGCAGTCCAAAAGCTTCAATATTCCAAAGACTATTTACTTACCGTAGCTTTATCAAGTACTTTAATGGAATAGGGCTCAGCCACGCTGTGTTTTCTTAGTGCTTGCTCCAGTAGTTGTAAAGGGGGGCGCTCCCATTTCCCAAAAACAACTAAATCTATATCACTGGACAAAAAGAACACAACAGGAGATGCACTAAGTGTTGGGAAACAGCAATCCGCTGGAGAAAACAGTGCAACCAACATTCTACGTATTAAAGTCCACAGCAATAACCATTCTGCAGCTCTTGACAGTTTAATAAGCTTATTTCTGTAGAGACAAGAAGAGATGGTCTTAGGTGATTTTAAGACCCCAAAAAAGTATTCTAGCTTCTTGCTTCCAGTTGCGATTCTCATGACTTTCATGTGGGCAGGAAAGTCAGCAGTGCAAACAAGCTTATTACAAATCGTCAATCACACGGGTGAAATCGCAGTAGGTAGGAAAACTTTGCTACATACACACACACACAAGGAAAGTTTAACTCGTGTCAAAACAATAGAGTCTATAAAAGACACCCACACAAGTTTCCTGGTACAGTATGAGAACCGTCAGATTATCAAACTATTAAGTGATATTAAACACTGAATTAATTTTAATCTCCTAGAAGCTGGGACAACACGCTATGATGACTGAGCTATCTGACTCTGCAGTTCCTCTATTTATAAGTGGCAAGTTAGACTTTCAATACTTACATTATTTAACAAAATGTATAATCCCTAAATAGAAAATATTAAGCATGTGAATTTTACATTTGGAAAAAAAAATCCACAGACTGTTACCCCAAAAAATCCAGAAAAGCAGTTTTATACAGTCAACAAAAAGAACCTAATTCAAGACACCTATATACCACATACATCCACAATCTTTAAGTTCAACCAGTCCAAGTCTTGGTTGTGTACGACACCATGCAAGAATTCTACTGGAAGCTTGATAGGTTTATATATTCTGGTGTAAATTCCTCTCTGAATTTTACCATCTCTTTAAGAGACAAACTGTTCATAAATATAAGTTATTACTTACCTAGTTGGGAGATAAAGTCCTGTACTAAAGCTGCCAAATATCTGGACCTAGACAACAGAAAATAGAAGAGAAAGAGGCACACATCACTGGAATATCTTGTAACCACGCATGCTCACTTCCCTTTCACAAGATTTAACTTTTCTGAATGTGCCAAAGACACAGCCCAGTAAAAACACATTACTGAATTTCACTCAATTACTTTCACTAAACTAGTCAATTGGTATAAATACACCTTTTCTTAAATAGGCAAGTCTACAGAAAATATTATTTTCCCAAAAGGAAGGGACTGCAGGCAGCAGAGCATAAGCTTTTGGAACAGCTCTTTTTCACTTCTACTGCAGGAGAGAAGCTGTATCGGTTGCTTCCTTGCTTCTTTATAAAGGCAGCTTTATTGAAAAGAGAAGGAAAGCTTTTTTTTTTTTCAGAATTAAGATTAAAGCAAATATGCTTTAATTCAGGACAGCAACTGCAACCAATTATAGCAAATTCTTTTAAGTGCCTGAATAAAGCAGTTCTGTAAGATCAGTAAACACAGTATGCCAAGGTCAAAAAATAAAATTGAAGATGAATCAAATAAAAGGTCAGTCCTCTAAAACTTTTGACCTACACCACCAAGCACACATTCCGTGCAAGTTCCTAGAGAAAAAAGCACGGACAACTCAGGACTGCTGCTCCTGTCCATCTGCAAACTCAGCTGTACTTTGTGGAACAGCCCCAGTTCTAGAAAGCAGTCATGAGGTGAAGACAGGAGACATAATGTAAGTAGTATTGTGGCCCCTGTGGACATTTTGCGCCAAACAAAAACAGCAATTTAGCAATCTAGACAACTCATTTTTCTGACATAATAATCCCTATAGACTTGAGTTGAAACCCGAGTTTAAGCCTTTAAAAAGATCAGCTTGTTTTAAGTCAATTAGAAGCAGGAATTAACAGTACTTTGCAATCCAGTAATACTTTTCCATAAAGTTTCCTGTAGTTATAGGAGAACTGATCCTGATTTGAGCCTTGTTATTTCCTTTGTTGCACCCTATTGCTTCATACCTCAAAGTATTCTTAATACTAAAGCTTTGTGTTTTTTACTAACTAATGTCATTCATTCTTATTGCAATACAATGTTATGTTCGCCAAGGATCTACACAGAAGTTAATCCAATCCTTGTTGGCCACTCTTTCAGCATGAGGCTTAAAGAATTATGATATAATCCCAACATGAGGAGTCAGAGGTAACAGTTTATGAGTAAAACCAGAAAATATGTCAGTTGATGCAAGTCTAACCCAATTCAAAGCAACATATCAAATGCACACGACAAGAAGATTCTATTCAGAAATGTGCATATTGAGACACAATCACAGAAATACTCCTCTCTATGAAAAAACAACTACTTATCTAAGCCACATTAAACATTAACATTCAATCTCACTTTACCTATACTTCTAAAAGCTTTGCTAAACTAAAATTAAGTACTGAAAAAGTTGACAGCAAAAGACCAAGCTAACCCTACTCTAGGCTACACTGTAAACACATACACATGCTGAAAAGTCTGTTAGATATCTGTCATTTTTCTAATTATTTTAGAATTTGGTGCCTCTGATCAAATGCATTGCTTACCATCCTTGTGTATTTCTCACTGACATATCTGTACCACATATGTCATGAGAAGGTCACATCCTGTTGTTCCAGCAAAGACCAGGACAGCCTATTTTCAGGGATGGTTCACCTAAGACGCCCTGTAGTTTTCACTGACTTGATTTCTCTAGGCAGGATTAGGCTCAGAGCCCAAACTTAATACCTTATTACCTTATTAATTACCTTATTACCTTATTAATACCTTATTAAAGTCAGTGGCATAAAGAGAAAAATTAAATTGGGCTTGATGGCCCAAAAGCCTAGGTCTGAAGCAGAAGAAGCTTTCAAAGCTTCCAGGCATGATTCTAATTAGATGGTAGGGAAAGCTACCTAAAAGATAGGAGAGCTTTTTTTCTTTTTTTTGAATAGCTTAAGTGAGATTTTCTTTTCACACAGCTCAATATATTTCCTCTAGAGATTTCAGATAGGGTGCTATGTGACACAAGATATATAAGTAGCAGGAAGAGGGGGTTTTTTTGGTACAGATGAGAGGCTCTGCGTGCCTTCTGGAGTAACCTAGAAAGGCGTCTTAATCAAGAATATTTCACTGGAGGGACACTGCAAACATTATTCCCAGAGTAAAAACTACTATCTAGGGACTTACCTAAATCATGGACTGGGGAAGAGGGAAGGCTTAAGACAACCAGCTTGTTGATTCCGTAAGCTTTAGACGGATAAATAACATGCTCACAGTTTGTAGGTTCTCATTTCTGATTAAATGCAATATCCAAGGTTTTGGTGACACCAGCTCTGACATTAAGTCCACTACCTTATATTGAAGTCTTACTTCTTCATTCCCCATCATCTCCCCTCCACCACCAAAAACAAGTAAACAATGCTTATTTTTGTGGGTATTAAGTGAATTAAGTTCTAAAGTTTATCACAAAATTAAATTAACGTATGCTTAAGTTACACTCACATCAGCTGTAGGCCAGAGATCCTTGATGACCAATTCTATTCTTTTCACCACTTCCCTCCTCATAGCTGCTTCTTCAGGACGAGGGGACATGAAGTCATAGAAGTCAATTATTTCTTCATGTAGTCTAAAGGAGAACGTAGCATCAGTTATAATGACGACTTTGCTGTTACAATAAATTGAACTGATTCTTCCATACCGGATTTCTATGTCAAAACCCCAGTGGAAAATTCAGTAGTCTAGACACCTAACAGCAGCTTCGAGCACGGAGTCTAACTGCTAAAGATGTCACCTGACGCTAGCTGCAAAAAGCAGTGAAGCTGCTTAAATTCAGTTTCTAATTCCCAAAGCACATTTCCCCTTAAAAAGAAATACACATAAATAAAAAGAGAGAGTCTTGAAAACCATGCAACGATCCAAACACAAAGCAACACAAAGAACTTAGAGCAGGCTTATTCCTGCAGAGATCCTTATTTCTGTGCATGTAGGAGTTTGTGAGACTAGGCATTCCTGAGTTTTTATAGAGGAGTACAGAATGGGTGTTTGAGCACTCACTGACTTGAAAATAGCGCAATGAACCACATCTATAGTTGCCTGCTGAACAGCTTGGCAACCCTGCATTCCTTTGACAACTCAAACACTTTATGAGCTAGTTATTCATACAGCAAGTTACCTTACGACTAGACTTAACAACTGAAACTGTAAAATGCACTATTGCCACTACTAGCTGAGAACTTCTCACAGGGGATCTTCCTGTGAGAAATACACACATATATATATACACACCTGCTAAGTCCTTCCCTTTGATTCCCATCTTTCTGATATGACAAGAGAGGACACTCACTACCCAGTTTAGAGGGAAGACTGATAAATGCAACACTTGTGATCACAGGAACAGCAGCAAGCTGTGCCAGGGTGGTAGGGGAAAGATAGTATATATTTTATATATATTTCTCAGACCACATTCAGAAGGTGTAGCCCATATAATTCTGAAGTGAAGGATACTTTAACACACAGTTTTTAACAAAACATGTATGTCCAACTTCTGAAGAGCACACCTGCTTAGAATCACAGCTTGCACTTTCTCATATCCCACTGAGCACTGAAGTTACCCAGCAAGCTACAGCCTGAGCCTTTTGTTTTGAACAGTACCAGACTGCAAAACACTTCAAAGCAAGACTGAACATATCAACTAGCTCCTCTTCTCTTGTGTTTGTTTCTAGACAGGCTGACTTCAAGAACTCCAAGTCCAATGAAGAAACCATCAGAACACAGCTGGGTCAGGCCTAGCTCAAGACCTCCTCACAGGTGGAGGTGACACCAGAACAGATGGAGCAGTCACCCAACTCCCTTGCAACCTACATGTTCCCAGTTATTCTGGCATATTTTTGAGTGGATCCCAAGTCAGGTTTTTAGTAGCTCAAAAAGATTTCCACTGATTTTTTTTTCAGATAAAGTCCACCACAATGCCCATACCACCTGTGTTATTTTTCTTTAGATATATCTCTTAATTTTTACTAGCACTTAATTTTATCTGCTAGAGCTTAATTTTATCTGCAATTTTATCAATTATGAATGAATAAGCTCTCATTTCTGCAGTTAGTCAGGGTTTGGGGTTTTTTTTGTTTTTTGTTTTTTGTTTTTTTTTTTTAATTCCTCTTCGTGTTTTGTCTTTACCTCATTCATTTCTTCCCTCCAGGTATTTATGAATACACTGAGCAACAGAAATACCTGAGTAATTGTACTGATAGCCTTCTTTTATTACAAAAGTAAATTATTTATTCTTTCATTAGGCAGTTATTGCCATTGCACCAGGGGCTCCATTTTCACTATTTTAACAAACCTCAGAAGTACTGTTCAGAAATAATCCAGCTCTGTATCAAGCTGACCACATGGATACGGATGATGAACAAATCCTTTGAGGAACTGAGACCTACGAGACCCAAATCAGCACTCATGTATCTTAGCTCTGTTGTTACAATATTAACCAGACCCACTCAGTGCAGGAGAACTGTTTACAGCAGGTGTCCCACACTGGGAAAGAAGGAAAGTGAAAGAGGTCTCAGCTCCCCTACACGCTGCAGCCCCTGCCAAACACAAGGGGCTCTTTCAACAACAAGCCCTGGGCAGCAAGGTCAAGAGGAGAGCCAGCGCTCGCGCACGCAGCGGCGCTCCACGGAGCTGCTCTTTATCAACATTTTTGAACAACAGCATGAAAGACTCCAAAGAATACAGCCCAGAAGGCTTCTCAAAGGCAAGCTCTTCATTTTCTTCCACTAGGAAAGTAGGTAGCACTTCACTTGTGTATTTTGACTATTTACCCCTTGTACTATTTTCTTCTACAAATTGAAGCACAAGTCCAACCTGCACACTGTGGCTTTGTAGTGCAATTCTAGAGGCATTTCCCTCGAGTTCGACACATAGAAAAAGACATGGCTGTACAACAGTTATTCTGCTGGTAGATTTTAATGTTTGTTATTGAAATTTAAAACAACAGTTCCCAAGAGTCAAAGAAGGCTCTAGTGAGAACTCTCCTAACTTCTTCTCTGGCAAAGATCAATGCAATCTATAGCTCTGATCTTAGAGTTTTATTGACTCTAAAAGTTTCTTGCCTATGATGTTTAGTTTTAAATGCCTTCAGCAATATGAGAAAGACTAAGATGCATTTGGAATCAAATCTGGCAGAGGATATGAAGGACAACAGGAAGGGCTTCTGCCAATACACGAGTAGCAAAAGGAGCACTAGAGAGAATGTGGGTCTGCTGAATGGGGTGGGTGCCCTGGTGATGAAGGGCAGAGAGAAGGCAGAGCTACTGAATGGTGCCTTTGCCTCAGTCCTTCCTGCTCAGGTCAGCCCTCAGGAATTCCAGGCCCTGGAGAGAATCTACAAAGTCTGGAGAGAAGAGCACTTTCCAGAGGATCAGGTTAGAGATTATTTAAGCAAACTGGACACCCACAAATCCAATGGCCCTGGTGGGATGTACCCATGAGCACTGAAGGAATAGACAAGATGTTTTTGCTGGGCCACTCTCCATCTTTGAAAGTCACAAAGAGATGCTCTGAGGACAGGAAAAAGCCAATGTCACTCTGGTCTTCAAAAAGGGCAAGAGGGTGCACCCAGGCAACCACAGGCCAGTCTCACCTCTAGCCACTGAAAGGTAATGGAGCTGAGCTCATCCTGAATGTCAAGTACGCGGAGGACAAGACTATGAGGACATAGTCGCCATGGACTCGAGAGGAAATCACGTTAAACAAATCAGCAAGATGCCCGAGATGGAATGAAAGGCTGGGTAGAGGGCAGCACAGTGGGTGCTGTTTACCTTCACTTCAGAAAGGTTTTTGACACTGTTTGCCATGACAGAGGCAAGCTCAGCAACTGTGGGTTAGATAGTCAGACAGTGGGGTGGATCAAGAAGTGGCTGAATGACAGAGCTTAGACGTTTGTGATCAGTGGTGCACAGTCTAGCTGGAGGCCTGTGGCTAGTGCTGTCTCCCACGGGTCACTACTGGTTCCAGGCTTGGAACTTATTCAGCTTATTCATAAATGCTCTGTAGGACTGAGACTAAGAGGGCAATCTTACCAGCACAAATATCTTAAAGGCAGGTGCCAAGAGGATAAGCCCAGTGCTAAAAGACAGTACTCAGTGGTTTCCAGAGACAGGTCAAGAAGTAATGGGCACAAACTGAAAGCCAGGAAGCTCCATCTGAGCTTAAAGAAAAACTTCTCAACTGTGAGGGCAACAGCACTGTGACACGCTGCCCAGTGAGGCTGTGGAGCCTCCTTCTCTGGAGATCTTCAAAACCTGCTGAGACACAGCCCTGTACCACGTGCCTTAGGTGTCCCTCCTTGAGCTGGACAGTCAGACTAGACTATCTCCAGAAATCCCTTCCAATCTCAACTACCCTGACTCTGCAACCTGTTCTCGAGACCTTTGATTGACTTACAGATTTATACTTCATTTGCTTAATGTTCCTGTTTTCCTCAATTCAATAGCTTCTACTTATCTGAAAACATCATCTTATTTACATGTCCTCAGAGTCAGCACATAACAGTCTTTTCAAGCATTTTACATACTTGGCTGTTCCTTGTCAAGAATTCTCAAAAACAATATGCCTTTTTAAAATTAATTACTGTAGCTGATCTTCTTTACTCAAGCAGAAAACTGGAGTAAGAGCCAAAAAGCAAACAAAAAAAGTAGTTCTGATATTTCTAGAGCCAGACGCCATATGGTGCTCAGGACTGACAATTCCAGAGTTGCTTCTCTTGTGGCTGCAGGTGTCATTCGGTGTCTAAAAATACAGATCATAACACAATACTGAGGCAGCCAATACAAGGACAGTTTTCTGTCGAGTCTTTTGCCCATATAGCTTCCCTACTCTGCACATGATGCTTCCTAATTCAGGACTGTGACAATACCATAAGAAGCTAGGAATACAATTCCAGAAGATGGAATTACTTTCTGATACAATTAACATCTTTACCTTTTCTTAACTTATAGAGCTTCTTTCAGCCTTGAGAAGCCTCCAATTAGCTAAGAGCTTCACCATTAAGCATCATAAAAAACTGCCGCCTGGGCAGCAGCTGAGCTGGGCAACAGAAGAGATATATTTTAACTAAAATGTATCCCCTTCAGGATCTTAGGAAAGGCAGCAATGCATTTCCAGTCCTCAAAGTAAAATAAGACTAAGGAAGTTTGTCCTCAAACTTTTGTAATGACTTTTCTTAAAATTACTTTTCTAAGAAAGATCACTTACCCTTACCTGTTTTATATACAGCAATACTTTCGGATACTGTAAAAGATGTTACATTGATTTGTTGCATCAGAACTTCAGTGCAACGAAAAAATTCCCCAACAGCATCAAACTAGATAGTGAATGAAAAAAGCTAGAGACCTTGTTTCCTCAAGTAAATATCCTGTTCTTTTCTGCATCGTATCTGCACTGTTGGGCATATAAATTATTCTAAAGAAATGGACAGAAACAGGACTGCATCATTTATACAAATATGGAACTGCTGACAGGTCTGCTCAGAACCCTTCCAAAAGGAAAGGACACATCCCTGTTATAGCATATTTTGTCTACCACTGGGGGCAGGGGGAGAAGGTATCAAAGGTCTGGAAAGAGCTG